CAAATAAACAATAATGTTGAATTCAGAAGTACTCTCCTGCAGTGTTCCCCCTATATCCTGCCTTCAACCCTGATTAACCCCGAGGAAATACTTTCCCTGTGCCAACGCTAAGGTACAGAATCCCCTTAGTTCCCAAAACAAACCAGTAGCTAAGGCGTTGTCCTGGCCAGACTCTGCCCTCTAGCCAGGAGAGGCCAGGAGAACAGGTGGGTGGAAGGAGGCCCTGTTCCCTGGCCTGGAGATGGTGGGAGGATAGGCAGGGGGACAGATAAGCTCCATCTGCATCCTCAGTGCCACATCGGGAACTCTGCAAGCCTCAGCTTTTTTCCAGCGGTAAAGAAGAGGCAGACCCAGCCATCACACAGTGGAAATTTAGTGAAAGCCAACACAAGCAGTGTTTGTGTCCTTATAGGAAGTACCAGTTTCTCCAACTTCCCTTTCCCCAACCCCCTTAAAGGGCCAGTTCCGTGGAGTAGAACAAAAGGTGCCAGGCCTGAAGAGAAAGCGTGCAGTGTGGTTTGGGTCTTTTTTTCTTTTTTTTTAAAGGGACACACCTGGCCACCCAGTAAGGAAGCTACTCCTAGCTCTGTTCTCAAAAGTCACTCCAGGGGTGCTTAGGGGACCATGTGGCACCTGATATCAACCCCAGACTTCTGCACGCAGAGCACATGTTCAGCCTGTTGGGTTATCTCTCCAATCTCCCCAGAAAGTGTGTAAATTTATGGGAACAAGGACTCAGGAGAGTTCTGGAAGCAGAGGGAAGCTCAGGTGAGTACTAGCTATGATTGTTTTACTCTGGTGGTGGCCGAGGAAATGCACCAGCCTGGTGTTGGTTAGGGAAAGCACTCCTCAGGAAGGTGGGGCACTTGTGGACAAGTGACCCAGGGTCCTTGCCTAAGCAGTGCCCCTAACCATGTCACAAGGGTGAAAGGATCAGGGATGTCATCTCCTGTCATGTGCCCCGGAGAACCCCGGAAACCAGACCCTGGTCCAAAGGCCTCCTTATAGGGTCCTCATGAACAGTTTTTAAACCGCCCTAAGGAGCACAGGCATCAAATCCAGCAAATCCGCTGTAAAATTAAGCAGAAGAAGAGGCCTTTTCTTAAAAAAAATTTTATTAGTGAAACACCATGAGATACAGTTGTAGACTTACAAATTTTTGTGCTTGGGTTTCAGTTATACAATGATCAAGTACCCATTCCTTCACCAGTGCCCATTTTCCACCACCACGGGTCCCAGGCCTTTTGATCTCTCCAAAGTTAGGCCGAGCGCAGCTGCCCCCAGAGCTTTGCAGAGGTTCTGCTGACCAGCACAGTGGCCGGCGAGGCCCTACCAGGAGAGACGGGGAGCACGCCACCTGAGGACAGCTTTATTTACGCTCCTGCAGAATGGACAAGTGGGCCTTGTTTTTTCTGGATGATTAAGGAGCCGGCTCACATAGCGTCTGTGATTCCACATTTAGAATCGTGTCTTCATTCACATTCTTTCCACGCAGCTCACGGCTCCTGGACTGGAAGAGAGTGGCCACTTTGCCGGGCCGTCCCCCGGAGAGATGCCAGCTCTGTCCCAGGCAGACCTGGAGCTCGTGTGGGTACTACATACTGGAGCCAGGCTTTGTGTCAGGGCCCTTCAGGCTAGAGCACCCACCCAGACCTGAACAGACATGGGGTCCCTGGCACTGGGCAGGGGGAGGCACACTCTTGGAGAAATCAGACTCACAACCGTCACTGTGGTCAGGCTCACTGCAAGGGGCCTGGGCTTTGGCTCTGCGCCTGCTCCTGCACCCTGGACAGGTTCTTGACCAGGCCTGACTGTTCTCTCCCAACTCCTCTGGCCACTGCCCTGCCCTCTGCACAGTCTCTGGGCCACCCACGGTGCTCTTCTCAGTCAGCCACTTCAAGCAAAACTGACACACGGCAGAGCTCGCCACTTCGAGGATCTTAAGCCAGACATGAGCTCATGTTCTCCACCTGTGAAGAATTAAAAGTAAGCCGGGGAAGAAACACTGTGGACAGCAGGAGGAAAGCAAGTTCGGAAAGCCAGGGACCTTTCTGCTGAATCCCTTCAGTTCCTGTGGCCAGTGCTCCAAAGCCAACTCTTCCATAAAGTGAGATTCAGTTTCCTCAATGTTTGCTAAAATCCGTAGCAGAATTATTTGACTCGTGACAATAACATAAAAACTAGCTATATTGGGGGCTGGAGCAATAGCACAGCAGGTAGAGCATTTGCCTTGCACGCGGCCAATCCGGGTTCTATTCCCAGCATCCCATATGGTCCCCTGAGCACCACCAGGGGTAATTCCTGAGTGCAGAGCCAGGAGTAACCCCTGTGCATTGCCAGGTATGACCCAAAGAAAGCAAAAAAAAAAAAAAAAAAACCTAGCTATATTGTATCTCACACTTTGCGTATGGGAAACCCTGGTTCAGGTCCTGAGACAGCATGGTCCTCACCCTTATGAGTTCCAGGAGAGACCCCCATCAGGTATGGGAAAGGAAAGCAAACAAGCTAGCAAAAAGCAAGCAAGAAGAAAGAGGGAAGGAAGGAAGGAAGGAAGGAAGGAAGGAAGGAAGGAAGGAAGGAAGAAGGAAGAAGGGAGGGAGGGAGGAAGGTAAGGGAGGGAGGGAGGGAGGGAGGGAGGGAAACAAATAAAAAAAAAGAAAGCTTTGTTTAATCTATAGCTTTGTTTTACTTTAATTAAGTCATTTTAAATTCTCTTGACATAAAATTTTGATAGTAAATTGACTCAAGATTGACATATATAATCACAAGAAAATGCCAAATAACTCACATTTGAGGAACTTTGCAATATACAAGCACAAATACATAATGAACCGTGACTCTTCCATCTTCAGTCCATCTGGGGAGGTGGACACGTCAAGGGACAGAACACCCCCAGATTTGACAGGAGTCAAAAAATTAGGAAGGACCAGAGCTCTGGGCCCTAATTTTTGTTTTATTGTTTTAGTGCTAGTTCACATCTCAATTTGACTAGCTAGTTTCAACAAGAAAGTGGGGCAGATAGGGTGAGTAAAATTAAGTGGTTCAGTTTGGGCCTCCTTGGAACCATCTCAGAGTGCTTATCTTGCTGAGCAGTGGCTAGGAACCCCACAGCCAGACCCTAAGTTTTCAGGACAAAAGGTAAAGGGAAGAAAAGCAGCTGGATACTTCTGCTATTGGAGTCTCATCCCCAGCAGCAGGTCACAAGACACTCTCTCTGCCTCAGTTCCAACCGAGGTGCTTTGACTCCTTCTTGTGACCATGCTACTGGCAGACCCCAGACTGAGGTGAAGCCACACCCCAAGGAAGGGCTAGAATCAAGGTGATGTCGGTGGGTCCCATGGGTGGCTCATGTGAAACGGGGAGGAAAAAGACGGTCACTTCCTCCCGATCTGCCTCTGCCACCCTCTTGCCTTGCCTCTCAGAAAGGAATTTCAGGAGAAGAGGAGCAGTGAAATTACAGTTTTTATTTGGAAGTTTATGAAGGGAAGGAGGGTGAGAAAGTGGCAGAGAGTGCAGAGTAACGCGTTCAAGAGAGAACCCGGTCTTCTCCAAGGGCAGCGAGAGCCCCTACACACTTCCCAGCACTAGGCAGGAAAGCATGAAAGTACATATCTCAAGAGGGGAGATGCGGGCGACACATGTGCCCAGGCACTGCATGTACTCAGCCACGTGGGCACAAGCAGCACATGGGCTAGGGCAGCATATGCACGTCCTGCCTCTGTTCAAGGTGGCCTTTATAGGGTTCTTCCAACCTGCCCCCCACATGGGGCTTCTACCTAGGTCAAAGTTGTTGCTAGGGAAGTTGTCAAGGGGGTAGAGTTGGGAGTGGTGATGGTCTTCTTTGAAATTCCTTTCCTGGCCTTTTGTTCCTGATGGAGCTTCTGTCGAAAGGGGGTCCAACCTCCTCAGGGTCTGTTACTCTGTTCCTGGACTGGCACTGGCACCAGTTCTCCATGAGGTCAGGGCTATTATTTCCCAGGAAATCTACTGCCACTGCCTTGGGAGGGGGCCTTCCCTATCTGCCTGCCTGCCTACATCAGAGTTAGCTGGTTGTGAGGAGTCCATGAGGAGGACGAAAAGTTCTGAATAGAGACAGAGACACAGTCAGACACAGACCTGCAGGGAGATTTTAGTGCCACCAAAGAGAGCACCTGCCAAGGAACATACAACTAACTCTGTTTTGCCCAAACCAGGGACTGGAGGAGCATGAGAAAGAAAGGAAAAATCCTTTGTGTTACCTCCTGCCTATGAGCAGGTTCTCAGAGGACCAACTTGGGAAGGAGAAAGAGGGTACCCAGGCACTAGCAGGGGGCATGGGGGTGTGGAGGGGGGAGGGCAGTCCCTCTGAGAGGAGAGAGATTGCAGAGACCCACTTACCTATTGGGACTGGAAATTTGCAAATGAGGATTTGGACAGCCAGACTCGCCAGGGCCCTTTTGCACATTTGCCTCTTCTCAGATTATTTCATGTCCTTCTGCAACATTCTTGCACCTCTCACTCCCAGTCCCAGCCTAGCTCGCTCCCCCCACCCCCCACCCACCTCCCATGGCCCCCAACCTGCAGCAGGGCATGTTATTTTGCTACCCGAGCTCAGCAGACTACACTCCTTACTCGAGGAATGCAGCCTGAGGTCCTCGCAGCCGATGATGAAACGGGCTATTTCTGCCCCGGGACATCAGCAGGCCTCCGGGCAGGCGCTGGCTCCCAGGCACAAGCTCTGATGTCTGTGATGTTTCCCTACACAAATGTTTTCCTTCACACCTTGGAACGCTTTGATTTGTGTCTAGGTGTGGGAATATCTTTAGAAATCCTTTCGGGGTGGAAGTTGGGACCCGGGTTAGGGTAGTGGCGAGCAATTTCTCACTCCCCAAGTTATCTATTACCCGTGGCTGATCTGGATGTAAAAATAGCTGCTGAGGCTGTTTGTTTAATCTGACTGTTACTTGACACCACGCGGGTGTTGCAGAGCGTACTGTTTGCCTCTTCCCCACCAAGAACACCATTTGGTTTCCCCCTGCTAGGTCTGTCTTTAGGGACGCTTCGTGAACGTCCAGGGTCCGGTCCGTTTCTGGCCACCGATTTCTCTCCAGCGGGATGATTTGTCAGATGTGAGAGTTTGGGGAAGTTTCGGCTGCTGGGAAGAGCCAAGTTGCTGAACGCGTGGAAGAGTTGGGGTTCTCGCTTGTTTCTGGGGAGGACTGAAGAGCAAGCAGCCGGGACACTGGCGAGTGGAAGGTAGGATGCAGAATCGTGTCTGGCCTCTCAGCGGAGGCCAGAGGCCAGGAGCTCCGGCTCCACAGGGCTGCTCTGGGAGGGCTTGTGAGATGGAGCTGTGTGGTGTGCCGGGGCCTTGTGCAAAAGGGGTGTGAGTCGCCAGGCAAAGGTGGGGGTCTGAGGTTCCCAGCGGGCAGTTGTGCTGTGGATGCAGATTGCTGTGTAGACAATAAGAGTGAGCTGTATAACACATAGTGTATATACAAGTATGCATGATTTCCTTCTTCCATCCATTCGACTCTGAGACCACATGGCTGCTGGGGTCACTAGTCTGTTCAGGTCACTACACTGCCAATGAGGTACATCCCGGGAGCTCGGGGGCTATGGCAGGAGACTGGCTGGGCCAGTGAAGGGACAGGCAGTCTCCCAGGGCTGCTCACTGGGAAATCCTGACCCCTGGTTTCCAGAGCCTGTGTGTCCTCAACACTGTGCCCCAGGTCCCCGGAAGGAATAATCTTTGATCAGAACCCCACGGAAGAGGGCTTGGCCAAATCTGAAATCCCACCCCACCCCAAGTTGATCTTTTAATAGAACAATTGTGAATCTGTGTAGAAAGCTGAATAGACTTTAAAATGTTTGATTTTTTTTAAGGCTTTAAAATGCACCCTTGAATGCTGATTACTTAGGAAGCTATTCGGGGAGGTGGGGGGCAGGGACAGAGAGGTAAATGGGAACTTCCTATTCTTTCACTCCATCATTGCATCTCACTCAAAGTGGTTAGGAAACAAATACTATTTTTTATTTTGTTTAATTGCCATACCCAGCAGCACTCAGGGGTTACTTCCGGCTTGGTGCTCAGGGTCATTCCTGGCCATGCTTGAGAAACCTTGGGGCCATGCAGAGCCAGGAATTAAAACCAGGACTTCCATATGTGGAGTATTTGCTGTACCTCATCAAGCTCTCTCCTTCACCCAACAAAAGCTCTTGGGGACCACACCCAGCAGTGCTCAGGAATTACTCCTGGCTCTGCACTCAGGGATCATTTCTATCTGGGCTTGGGAGACCACATGAGATGTCAGGGATTGAACCCAGGTCCAGTTCATGCAAAGTTTTTTTTTAATATTTTTAATGCATCTAATTCAATTGCATTTATTGGAATAATTGGGCTTATCAGGATTATTTATAAATATTTGCAGCCATATTTTTAAAAGCTGTAATTCTAAGAACCATGGAGAGCTTATTAAATAAATGTTTGTGTTAAGGAAGATCCTATTTTCCAGCATTTGAATTCCTTTACTTGAGTGGCTAGTAAAGTATATGACTCTGAGTTGAGCACCCAACTGTATAAATAAAGTTTTACTGACACATAGCTACATCCATCCATATCCATATGAAAGCAGTCTGTGGCTGCTTTCATGCCCAAATAGTGTAGGCCATATAGTCAGCAGAGAGCAAAATAAAATCTACAATATGATCCTTCTGAAAAAGTTCACTGGCCCCTGTTGTAAAAGAACACTCCTTGGGATGTGTCAATTTAGCACACCTCTCTCTCTCTCTCTCTCTCTCTCTCTCTCTCTCCCTCCCTCTCTCTCTCAGTTTAAGATATTGACTGCCTATGGGCTACCCCTCAAAACAAGCTGGCCCTGGGAACCCCTGGCATCCTCGGGATTGGTTTATTGCATCTGGCTGGCAGAGAAGACATTTCCTTTGCCACTGTGAGGGTCGCTCTGCTGTGGAGTGAGGCCTGGGCTGAGCAGGGCAGATTGTGCTTATCGGGGTGGGTATAAATAGACATCTGCGGGTGACCCCAGTCCAGCATGCAGTTGCTTTTGGGTCTTGGGGACAACAAGTGTGCCTCCTCTTTGAGAAGGGGGCTCTTGTGCCCACTGGGAAGAAAGGAGATTCTTCAATATAGGATCCTTGATCCAGAGGGCCTCTAATCCTCCAGACACACAGCAGAGAGAGGTGCGGGAAGGGGACAGGGAGGGCCGAGAGAACCAAGAGTCCTGGAAGGGAGAACGTGGCCACCCCTGGATTCTTCAGCCCAGGATGCAAACCACCAGCTTGGTGTTTTCTGTCTCTTGGCACTTGACTCTTGGGAAGTCCTGGAGACCCCTACAGAAAAGGGGAAGACCCATGTCTGGAAATAGCCCTATCGCTCCAGTGGATGCCAGAAATCTCAGTCACTGCAGCCTGGGACCATCCCTTGCTGTCTCTCAGGAGTTCATGCCATCAGCCCAGGTTATCAGAGAGAAGCAGAGTGTTGAGAGGAGACGACTCTCACATAGCCACTAGCAGGGCCTTTCGTGGTCTCCATGGGAAGGGTTAAAGCACCTTTGAGCAAAATCCAACCTGATTTCTAATTTCACCAATCGCGCTTTATCGCTTTCTAGGTCAGGAAAACCCCAGAGTCGTCTTATTTTTGATTTACTTCCCATGTCATGAGGACGTGGGGTGGTGGGACTAGGAGCCAAGGTGTATAGATCAGAGCTCCCCAAAAGGAGCTTGTGGAACATTACTGAGATGTATCACCTCCGGCACAAGTCATCCAAATTGTTCTGGAACATTCCCTAGAGGGGGCTGTGTGTGAGTCATCCCTGGCCTCCTATGTGTTGATGGAGGTTAAGGTGGGTTCTCAAAGGGGGTGAGACAGATGAGACTAATGGGGTGAGGTGCGTTCGATCCCAGCTCACAGTCCTCAGCCTCTCAGCTCTGGGGCCCAGAGTCAGAGTTTGGGACGTGACTGTCAGTGCATCTGGAGAGCCAAGCACGCACCCAGGCTGCCTCTACAGAACTGGCCAGACCTATCTTACTAGGGAGAAAGGGGACGGGGCCCTTGGGCCTTGTACATGAGCTGAGGAGGGCCCTGTTCTCAGTAGGGCCCACCTGGACACAGCCCTACCTGGAAAAGGATGTGAGCACCAAGCAGGCAGCCAGAGCTAGGGAAGGCTTCTGAATCCATGACCAAGCCCCAGAGGTATCTGTGGGACAGCAGAAGTATCCCTGGGCACTGACCGCTGACCTCAATAGTCTCCTATTCCAGAGGAGGCCCTTGGAGGACCTGGCGCTGCTACATGCCCCGGGGCTGAGCTAAAGGAGAGGTTTGTCTCAGCTAAGTCCCACCCCCGACATTTTCCTCTGCAGTTTACGGAGGCCCTGGCCTGAGGGAGGAGTATCTGGACTGGCTTGAACATCCCAGTGCTCTCCGCCCCCAGGAGGCTGGCCTCATGCCTCGTGCTCTGAGCTCTCCAGACAATGTCTGGTCATGCTGGCTTGCCCTGTCCTAGTCAGACTCCAAGTCTGCCCCGTCAGCCCCTCACTGAGGAAGGTCAGAACAGCGGGCTCATAGAGGTCAAGGGGTCAGAACACAGCCCCATGGGGTAAGATATGCTCTCCGGGCAGCCACCCCCAGCAGCATTACTCTTGTGTGCAGTGTACTTGCGTGCTTGCTTTAGTCTCACAGTCGGGCATGGTGGCACTTATGCTTTCTGAAACTCCAAGAGGACCATCACTGACTCCAGAACGCACAGCCTCCAAGGGCCTGAGACCTGAGTCCAAATCCCGTGTGTGTGTGTGTGTGTGTGTGTGTGTGTGTATGTGTGTATTGGGGTGGGGGAGAGGAAGTGCAATCACAAGCATTGCTCAGGGGACTTGGGGGCAGACACAGCTATATTCCACCAACAAGATCATCAATTCAGTGCATGGGCCAAGGATGAGATGCTCCTTGGGCTCTGCAGTGCCAGGGACCGCAAAGGCTGAGTGATGCTCAGGAGGGTATATAGTGCCAGGATCTACCCCCACCCCCGTACTATCTCTCCAGCCCCAAAGCCATGCCCTTCTGGCACTTCCCCCAATCTCCTAGACCTAGAGCTCCAATAAAATTCCTGCAGTCCGAACTTTGGCTGGGAAAGGCATCAGCTTAGGCAGGCTAGTCCCTTAGTGCACCAAGCTGAGCCTCAATCTCCAGACACGAGGAAATAGAGGATTCAGGAGCCCACTTTGCCCTTCTCAGCCAGTTCCTGAACCTCCACATCCTTTTCTCTAAAATGGGGAACATCAACACCACTTATTGACTGCCAAACAATAGAATTGCATCTCAAAGGGTCCTTCATGCAATAGAGGAATAAATCCATGCAAAGCACCAGGTGTATAATGGAATTGCACCAAATGCTTTCTTCTCTCAACAGCCTTGTAGGTGGACTTATTTTTTCATGTTCTGCTTAAACTCCACTTTGAGGCTTTTTCTTCCAGAGGTGCCCCAAGAGAAAGCTCAGTGCTCCTGATCTAAGCTGAGGTATGTCCTTTGCTCGGTTGAAAACAGCAGTTGGAACCTTGGAGGACAGATCCCAGTTGAGGGCTACTGCTGGGCATTCTCCCTTCGATATTACTCTCACCTTTGTGCCCAAGAAAGACAAAAGGGTGGCGCCTTGGGTGGTGGGCCAACCCTGAGGGGAAAGTAATGATTCCATTCTTATGAGATCATGGGCAGTTTTCTGGGCAACACAGAGCACTGCAGCATTAGCTGGGATGACCTGCTCTCTCTCACACACACACTCTCCCCTGCCAAGGAAGAGAAGTTTCATGTTGGAGCACATTTATCTGACTCTAACCCAAAGTGTGAAGGGTGAGGGCAGAAATATGAACTGGAGGGGCTGGAGAGAGAGCACAGTGGGTAGGGCGTTTGCTTTGCACGCGGCCAACTCGGGTTCGATTCCCAGCATCCCATATGGTCCCTTGAGCACCGCCAGGAGTGACTCCTGAGTTCAGAGCCAGGAGTAACCCCTGTGCATCACCAGGTGTGACCCAAAAAAGCAAAAAAAAAAAAGTAGAAATATGAACTGGACTGAGCAGCCAAGTTTTGTCACATCTGTCAGGGTGCTGGCCCAGAAGAGGCAAATTATTTGAGGGGACACAGTCCTAAGGAGCTGGTTTCCTGAGAACCTGGACAAAGAGAGCAAATGATGGGAGCCCATTGAGGGGGAGGGGCCTCTGGTCACCTCTTCCTCCCTCTCTCCCTCCTA